TTGTTGTGTTTGGTTTTCAGCATTTTATTCATTTTGGGGTTAGCACTGTCAGCATTTTATACTAATTGGGAAGGCATGCCAACAACAGCCTACAGCCAGCAGGGAAATCGTTTTTTTTGGTAGCAATAGATACCATAGGTCTACAAGTAACTTCCCTGTGCAAAAATAGCAATATTATGTAGTTGTTGTTGATGTACAGGCTGTTGTGTTAGGTGTCAGCATTTTATTCATTTTGGGGTTAGTGCAGTCTTGGAGCAACCTTACCATAACAGGAACTACACCACCAACCCCCATATCTTTAACCGCAAATAGCGCTACAACCACAGCACCTACAGCTTAGTGGAAGGTACCATTATACTTGGCAAAGTTACCTCTATCAAGCTCTACCAATAGAACCTCAACTTTTTTCTTGAACCTAACCCACAATTCAACACTTGAGGCCTGCTAGGGAGACGTCACGGAGCAGCATTTGCCTAGGTGCGAGCAGTTGCTGCACGACTTGGTTGACGTGGTGGTACCATGCCATGACCTGCGCCTCTACCATCCACGCCGTGTCGTACGTTGCGCTGAATTCCAGGTCTTCTTGGCGCAAAAACACATGCACCACTAGTGGGTAGCCAAAGTACTCGTATGCAGATGCCATGCCCGTCCTCGCTACGGGGCTCATGATAGTATCCATGGTGTGGAACCTATCGAGGAACTCAGCAGGGTGGATGACCAGCACGTTGGTAAAGTCACAAGCCTCTCTCGCGTTCTCGCTGAGCTTAGTCATGTTTTGCAGCCCGAACTGTTCATGTGGAGTCATGGCAGACGCATGCGCTTGTACGTGACGTAGCAAGTTGGTCACTTTCTGCTTGGGACCAAGGCGTAATCGGACTGGAAATGTGGTCACCAGCGGGCTGGCCATCTTCTCCAGGCCAGGGACAGGCGCGTGGCGGCCCGAGATCGAAACTCCGAAGCATACGTCGTCCATTTCACAATGCCGCGCAAGTACTATCGCCCAGGCCGCCCTCAAAACAGTGGCCTTGGTTATCGAGGAGGCGGAAGGGGGGAGAACGATGGGTTTCGTCAGCGTTTGGAGCACAGAGGTCCCGGTGGTGTTGGGTACCCCAGACTTGCGAGGGGGAAAGGCCGCCTGCTTGGCCTCATGGAGCTACGCCATCCAGTACCTCTCGCTCGCCTCATGGTCGATATTACCGACATATAGCATAAAGCGCGAGAATTCCTCCAAAATGGGGGCTGTAGTATCTTGGTATAAGCGTCGCAGCTGTTGCATGATAAGGCGAAAACTCCACCCGTCAAAGACGGCATGATGTCCGATCAAGACGAAGTAATTTTGCCCATCGGCACCCGCTGTCAGTGTATATCGCCAAAGTCGCAATCCCGTCGATATATCCGTCTCATGGGTTTTCTCGACAGCGAGATCCACTGCGGAGTCAATTCCCCCGCCACCCAGTGACTCCCAGACCTCCCACGCTACGTCGTCTTTGACGACGATCTGGAAGTACCCACCATCCGCCAGAACGATGCGCTTCCGTAGGCCATCGCAGAGAGCTACAGTTCGTTCCCAGGCATCTTTAAATCGCGTGACATCAACATGCCGGGACAGTTTGTACACCCAAGTAGTCAAGTACGAGCCCGGCTGCGTGACGGCGAGCGCCATAAGACCTTCCTGGAGCGGCGTGCATGGGTAGGCATCCTCGATAGCCTGTTTCTCGGACAGGCCACAATGCTTCGAGGCCTGGTCCAGGATCTCATCGGCGCGGCCCTTTGGCAGCAGGCTGAACGGCGACGGTGGTGCACCAACGGCAGCAGCCGAGCCCACTGTGGCGGCCAAGCGCCACAACCGACCATCTCCGAAGATGGATGCCATCGTCAAAGCGATACCATAGCTACTGCGGGCCAGTGATACCAGACGTATCGCGCTGATGGAGTCTCCACCGATCTGTAGGAAGTTGTCGTCTCTCCCAATGGATTCTGCCGGTATATCGAGGACTGCAGCCCATAGCTGCTGTATCTGGAATTCCGACGCCGTTTCTGGTGCTTGCTTTTCAGAGTTCACTAGCGAGTATCTTGCTATATTGTGACTGTCCAGTGCTGCTGTCTTTTCCCTCAGCGTTTTCCTGTCCAGCTTGGTTGAATATGGCATATACCGACACGGTACAAACATGGTGGGCACCATGTAGCTAGGTAGCTTCACCCTTAGCTCTTTAGCTAGGCCCGACACCAGTCTCTCCACCTCGTCTGTCATTGGTAGAAAAAGGTCATCCATATTGTCTCGCTCGTCCCGGCCCGCTCGCTTAGTGTCCTAGCTGAAGCAGAGCTAGGTAACAAGACTCGTCTTAGACCCTGTCCGTACGGTATCTACAGCCACCTGTTTAATCACCTCAAACTCTGGCGTTGTCCTTACATTGAACTCGACCTCTTCCAGCTCAATGCGTTGGCCTCAAATCTTCACCTGTGTGTTTTTTCGGCCGATAAACTCTATGGTTCCATCTGGGTTATAAAACCCTAAATCGCCGGTTTTGAAAAAGCGGTCCCACGTCATCTCCAGGCCTTTTCGATGCGGCATCCACGCTGGCACTGGCGTTATAATAGACACTTCCGTCGCTCTGATGTTTGATAGATACTCGCGTAGGATGGTTAGACCTTGAACGACGACCTCGCCTGCGCACCCTATTGGCGCTAAGCGTTCGTGATCCTCAAGGTCGACGATCCAACTGCAGGACCCGCCCACAGGTCCACCCACTGTCATTGGCGATTCGCCGGCCGACTTCCACTCGTGCAGCGTGGCAATACAGCATATTTCTGCCGGGCCCCAAGCATTGACAAGTCGTACGTGGCCAAGCCAGGTATTTAAAATATCTTGGCCCGGTGGTTCAGATGCTGTTATCAACAGTCTTAGACTTGGAACATCTGTCGGCTTCATTGTCCAAATAAAGGACGGCGTTAGTAATGCTGAGTTTGCGCGTGTATGGCGAATGTAATCAGGAATGCTGGTCCACCGCGTCTCATCCGAGGGTACGCACACACATCCGCCGACAAACAAGGTGAAAAGATTTCCCCAATGCATGAGTCAAAGACGTACGAGGCAAACTGCAAAAAGCGCGTCTCTGCTGTCAAGCTCGGGCTCATGCGGAGAGAGACCTAGCTGGTACAGACTGAGCGGTGCTCTATTACCAGCCCCTTGGGGGTACCGGTGCTACCAGACGCGAACAAAACATAGGCGGCGTTCTGGGACGTCACCTCACACGCTTTCGGCAGCTGCCATGGCGAGACAGATGACGAGACGGTGCTTCCTTGCGCGTCGGTCAGGGACTTATCCAAGGCGGCCGTGACCTCGATAACAGCTAGCCCCAGGTGTTCGCATAGTTCGACGTTTGCCGTCGACGTCAACGCGAGTTTTGCTTTAGTCTGGTGTACCAGCTCTTGATGTCTTTTAGTGGGATGTGAGGGGTCCAGCGGGATCCAAGCGCCGCCGGCTTTGTTGATGGCGAGGATGGAAACAAAAAACCAGACGGATTTTTCAAAGCATAACGTGTTTTATCGGCTCGTGCACGCAATCGGCTCGTGCACGAAAATCAGCAGCTACACCCACACACTTATGAGGTTGTAGAGTCAGCCACAAAAGCTATCGCGATGTGATTTTATGGTGGAGTAGTAATTGAGAGCTTGCGATTCTATTATGCTACTTATAGCGGGCTGGTTTTTGGGTTTTGCGGCCGCTGCGGGTGGTGACTGTGGGGGATGGCTGGACCAACACTTCTACTTCGGCAGGCCTTTGTTCATCAACGACAATAACTGCTGACTTCTTCTTGCGTGAGGGCTTAGGAGTAGACTTTGTTGTAAGCGCCTTACTCTTTTTGGATAATTGTAAGTCTTCTCTGAGTTGCTTTGACAGCTCGCGATCGACAGCTTCTTGTGCCTTCTTCTCATCGCGAGCCTTCTTGTCAGCCGCTCGATGGAGACGTCGATCTTGGTCCAATTGAGCTTTGAGTTGCTTCTGCTCATCACGGAGGCGTGCTGTCTCGCTTTTTTGGTGTAATTGCACCTGTGCTTGGAGCTCTATAGCCTCCTGTTTATTGCGAGCGAGCTGCACCTTAGAGGGGGAGTAGAAGTAAGCACCACCATTATCCTCAGCCGGCCGCTCTAATAGTAGAGGCTTGCCACGCTGCCGTCGCTTCTTCTCATTGATAAAAGCAGCTCGGAGTCGCTCATTTTCATGCCGTAAGGTGGCAGTTTGTACTGCAAAGGCATGGACCGTGCGTGCAAGCTTCTTTGCATGCTCATCAGCTACATCCTTCACTACTTCCTTCAGAAGTCTCTGAATCAACCTCCAATCGTTGCTGCTTAGTGTTGATGTCGCGCTGCCAGCTGTTGACGGCCGAGATGGCTCCTTAGTGATGAAACGGGTGAGGATTCGTGTAGGATCGAGCGGCGCAATACCAGTAGCGGAGAAGGCCTTAGCAATGTTCTTGCTTGTAAATGAGACCTCCCATGCTATGTAGAATAGGCGGAAGAAGTCGCGCTTAGTAATAGATGAGAGACCTTGACACATCTCCATGAAGTCAGCGAGAGCACGGCTGTAAGCAGCCGCGAGAGGCGCAAACATCACCACATCCAATGGCTGTAGCGTATGGGTTGAATGTGGCGGAAATATGCAGAGGAGTATCCTGTTTCTGTCACAGTAATCGATGAACTTCATCGTCACATGTGAGCCGTGGCCATCCATTATCAGCAGCCTCCATTGCCGCCTTGCCTTCTCCTTTGTCTCGCGATCAAAGACCTGCTCCAGCCACTTGACTCCATGCTCATTGCTCGTCCAACCGTTCGGAGACGACGTTAGGAAGGCCTTGTGCAGTAAAGGATCAAAATCCTGCAGCCATGTGTCCTGTATATTGCCGCTCGCAGCCTGATAGATAAGGGAAGGCGTGAGTGCAGTACCATCTGCACAGATGCATGCAAGGAGCGTAATCCACTCACGATTGCCATCTTGAATGTGCTTTTTGCTCTCTCCAGCCTCATAACGTTCTCGCGAGAACACACGCTTCATCCGCGACAGCACACCAATCAAGAAGCCCTTCTCATCCATATTGTATATGTGACGACTGTCGACACCATACTGAGTGATTTTGCGCTGCAGGAGCTCGAAGTAGTGCTCGTATTTGTCGCGATTATCAGCCTTGAAGCGTTGGCTATCGATACCAGATGTCCATCGTGATATAAGGTGTATATGGTGTCGGTCAATGAAGCGGCTAGCCCAGCACTTTCCAATGTATCTCTGTGCGATCTCTGCTGCGAAATTTCGTATCATTTGGCTCGTAGGAGGTAGCCCACGTCGAGTAAGCTCATCTATGTATTTTATAAGCTCACGCTCTTGCTGTGGTGTGAGGTGTTGCTGTTGTGCGTATCCATCCTTCCGATTGCTGGTTACACCTCGGTGACGGCGCGATAGGGTTGTTCGATCAACACCAAATTTTTTGGCAGTTTTGGCGTAATTAGGCTTGTCGCCAGGCTTCAGGGGGCCTAAATCTGCAAGGGCATCGTCTAAATCGGTCATGGTGTTGAGTTATCGCGTTGTGAATTTACTGTGTTGATGTTGATTTTGGGACAAAATCGTGCACAAGCCGATTCCGTGCACGAGCCGATAAAACACGTTACATGCAGAAAGACGGCGGGCTAAACGGTCGGCTGCAGCGTGCCCGTCTCGCGCGGCGAGAGCAGCTGCTGAAGCACGCGGTCGAGGTGATGGGTCAGTGCAGTGACTTGGGCATCGGCCAGTAGGTCCGAGTCATAGGTGGCGGTGAGTTGAACGACATGGTTGTCGTGCAAGAGCCCGTGCACAACCAGCGAGTAGCCCGTCAGGGCGACAGGGATAGGCTCCATGGCGGGACGATCCGCCGTGCCGACGATCAGCAGGCTAGAGGAGTCGCACGCCGCACCAAGGAGGCTCGTCATGTCCTGCAGCCAGAACTGCTCTTGGTGCGAAACCATGCCTAACGCGTGCGTCTGCACGTCGCCCACGAAGCCGGCAACCGTCTGCGTGGGATCGAGGTGCAGCCGGATCGGGACGATCACCATGCTCCCCGGGCCCGAGACGGAGACAGAGGCGGCGAAGCAGATGTCGTCCGACTCACAATACCGCCCAAGTACAATCGCCCACGCCGCCCGCACTATGATTGCATTATCCACCGACGAGGATGAGGACGAGTCTGGCGGTGGGAGGACAATGTTCTTCGCCAGCGATCGTAAGACAGAGGCAGGCCTCCGCGGCGGGAAGGTGGCCTGCTTGGCGCCAACAAGTTGCTCCTTCCAATATCTTTTGCTCGCCTCGTGGTCGAGACTATTTCTTTCAGACAATATGGCGCAGCGCAGGTGGCTCCAGATAGCGTCTCCTGCGGGAAATACGGTATATAATACAGATACGGAGTGAAATCTGCAAAGTGTCAATGTACGCCCCGTAGGTAGCATGATTGTTCTGTATAGTGCAAGATGTGCTTTAATAGGCGCTTTGTAAGTTAACGTGGACTGGGATGACTGTAAGCCCGAATTACTGTCTTTTGGATTACTGTCTGTCAAGGGGCAATGTTCTGCATAGATGGTAACAGAACGCCCCCACCCCACACCTAATATGACGCTTTAAGGCAAGGACGACCCACGTGACAAGTTGGCGCCACAGGCTGCACGACGAGCACTGGCAGAGGATGCTCTACGAGTTGGCCAGGTGGCCGAACTCATGGCTGCAAATAGTGCGACAGTGGTGGCGACGAAAAGAAGCCTCTGAAGAGAATGCGTGCAGAGAGGCGTTGCAGTCGTCGCCTGAGACAGGGACACAATTCCCGTACCTGCCAGGGCAAAATCAGGGCATGTGAATGATCGTGATGCTTCTGCATAAGAATATCCCGAGTCTTGGACTAATCAGGTAGGGGCTACCCGTAACAACGGACACTCCAAAAACAATAATAGAAGCGATTAGCTGCGGGAGAAGCGTAGTGGGGCCAGCCGTCGCGCCTTGTCCCTCTTTGCAAAGGGATGTTGATTGAGTCATGTGACTTCACGATTAATCATTCCAGGAATTGTACCTCTAGTCGTCCTTCTTCAATAACCAACTCCATATTTATCGTGTGTGCATCATCCATTGCGCCAAACAAACCTTGCATACTCTGGCATCTCATCACACCCGACTAGACCACGCCCGTGAGTACGTTAGTCGGGCCTGATCTGATTTTGCATCCCTCGCCAATTCATGATACTTGCAGACGAGGATCGACGAGGACCCCAACTGACAAAGATGACGAAAGGTCCAGAATCGCGCTCAAAGTCGAGAGATGGAGCATCTGCATCACCGTCGACTTCAGGTCGCGAGAAACTACAGCCAGGCTATGCAGAAGGATCAGAAGGGGCGGCAGAGACAACCATAATCGCACCAAACAAGACAAGTTCAGACCCCGAGAGAGCTGTGCATACTCACCACGGCTTCTAAGGGGAGACTTCACGGACAACTGCTTCGAGCACCGCTTCGAGCACTGCTTCAAGCACCGCTCCAGGCTCACCAGAAATCGCTGCAGATGCCACCTCGCCAGGCGACTTTGGCAGGAAAGACAACGAATACATCAGTGGCTTCGAGCTCTACGTCGCCCTCTTCAGCGTCATCTCTGTCTTCAGCCTCGTCCTTCTAGACTTTAGCATCATCTCTACGGTGAGTACGGATAACCTACAAGCTGTCACGCCAGCCCAGAGCCCGAGCGTAATCGCCTTCATGCTATTCGTGGACAACCTATCGGCGGCCATCTTCACCATCGTGGGTAATGCCATCTTTACGCAGACCCTGAGACGGCAAGTCTCCGTCCGGGCACCGTCGGTGAGTCCTAAGGCGGTTCTTACAGTGGGCGGAAGCGCGGAAGCAGTGCGGGCCCTACTGCCTCCCGGAAGTCCGGAGCTCTACGGTTTGCTGCTCGCATTTTCGGAGAGCGTCAACGCCGTCTTCTACCTGTTGTCGGCACTCGCCGCCGTGTCTTTCACCGCTGCGTGGGGGATGGGGTGGGTGGACATTCGAAAGGAGGCGCCGGTGGAGAATAGGGCATGAGAGATGGTAAGAATATCCAGTGGTTATGCATTCTCTCCACAGAGGTGGCCGATCCTTGAAGATATGATCAATTGTGGATACAGCACAGGTTTCTCTGCAGAGATCTCATAGCCACATACAAGACGCTTGAAATTAGTGTTCCCTCTGTAGTACGCGGTAAAGCTCCTACAGTGTTCGGCTCATGCATACCAAATACCTCAACTATTATCGCCGCAAAACTTGGTGTCATTGTACTGGTCTGACATAAACTTCCGTACCATGTACTTCTCCAATATATACACGACTTCTATCAAGTGCCTACCTCTTAGCGAACGCTCTGAACCGGGTCCGGATCGCGTTTTAGCGTCGTTCCCGCCCCTTTCCAAGCCATCTATGGTCCTAGCGTCGAATTGGCCCTTTCGCTAACCCCTCTAAGCATGTGTCAGAGAATCTAGCCTGCGTTGCATGAGTGCTGCTTTGCAACCCTCTCTGCTGCAGCCGTTCATGCAGGTGTTAATGCCGAGCAAGATGTCAAACACAACAATGAACGTTCCTGCTGCATGGACAATATACACAGGAGACCCGACAAAGGCCCAGGTACGCAACCTGTAGCGCTCTGCCTGTTTCGCCGAGCTAACCTACGATAACCGTCTAGAAAGAGAATATACACGCACCGGACATCATTTCATATCTTTCGCAGTACGGCCACTTGCTCTGTACCCCCTGCAAAAGCGTGATACCGTTCAAGAGCCTACAGAATCATCTGCGAAACCACCATCACGTCAAGCCGTCGTTGTCTTGTGCTATAGCCGCAAGGTATAAGAACCTTCCTGTCTCGCGAAGTAGCCATTGCTGGGCTAGCTGTGTTGGCGGCGACAGTGTCTAAGACTTCAGTCTTACAGTGCTGGTCACAATTGGTTTCCGGTTCTGGCGTCAGCTTTGTTCTCATCCAATGATCGTGACGGGACACACATGCCACGTTCAGATTTGTCGATCTTGCCAATTGCCTGCGAAACCACTCCATGTTGGCAAACTCCTATCGCCATTGCTGAAGTCCTGTCTGCCGTAGATCTTCCCATGCTCTTCCTACATGCTGTGCCACTTCATGGTTCGCGTCAACTGTGTGTCAGTATTTGGGTGTGTAAGGGCTGTCTCATTAATTGAGCTAGAATTACAATAGGTAACATTCCTGGCTAGTATTGCAGTGTCACAACAAAATGACGTTATGGAGTGCTCGGAGCGATGATTCATACACTACTGTAGTACATGCATTACTATGTTTTCGCACCTGGGGATGTACAGGCACCTAAGATAATACGGGATCTGCCTATGCAGAGACTAGCTCATCTCTGTGCATTAGCGGAATGATCATGCAGAGCTCAGCTCATGCAGTAGGCCGGAGTAGTACGTATAGAATCGATCACGGACTTGCTCGGATATGTACATGTGAAAGTAACGAGTAGCACTACGCACCGACCGTACTAGACGCATTGTATATAATCCGCAGACCTAAGCGTATTTATTTAGTCAAATAGCTTCCGCCTCTACCTCAAGGGTCATCACCTCAAACCTCACCACCTTAATCTTATCCCGTCTTCCACCACCATGAAGGTCAACAACCTCACCATCCTCAGTCTACTCTCCTTAGTATCTGGCAGTATTGCATACTCAAGCAGATTCCGTGCCCAGGGTACATCGTTCTCCCCTCCCTTCCCCATCTCTTCCCTCCCTTTTTCCTACGTACAGCTGACTTCGTGCGCAGCCGACAATGACCCCATCCAGGAGCGTCAACGTGTGACCGCCTTCGTCAACACTGACGAAGGCCTCAAAGTTCAATGCTGGGAACTTGGGGATTTCCTCCCCTCCAACAACAATGCGGGCGGCATCATGCGCGCAACGAGTCTCGCCGGCAACTTGGCAATCACGCTTTATAGCTTTGCGCCTTCGGTTACCTTATTCTCGTTAGATCATCGTGATGGACCACAAACCAATGCTGTAGATTTTAGGGCACAGCCGAAGTAAGCTTCATTACATCTGGGCACTATCCTACAATCCTGATATTCTTGCCAGTCTTTTCACCGTAAAGGACGGTCTTATCTTTGTCAACGCCATTCCCAGTTCTACGGCCCGGAAGTCCGAGGGAGAGGAAGAGGAAGAGATCTTTATCTTCGCCGATGTCAACGGCGACGATTGGTTCTACTTTGAAGATGATACGACGAACGGGTCGGCGGAAACTTGCGCGAAGCCGCAGTCGGAAAATGGGAAAGCGTCTGCAAGCACATTTACCGCTAGGACAATTAGTGGTTCTGACACAACGCTGATCAACTTCGCGTACGACAGCACGCCAAAGCATAAGGTCCTTCACGATGGTCGATGCAATTTTGCTGGACTCACGCCAATCTCTCAATCTAGGCGCGAAGTTGATGCTAGAAGATTCCGTGTTCAGTCTTAGAAAGAGTATCGGAATGTTGTTCATTCACGTGATGGGAAGTCGTAGAAGGAAGGATATTGAGTAACGCGTACCGGGTGACAGTTGTAGTTAGGGTTGTGATATGAATGGGCAAATGGGGGGGTCAGGATTAGGAAAAAAGCAGTTGATCTTTTGAGGTCAGCTGATAGAACAGAGCTCTCTGAGCACAATGGTACCCTCTGCTAAGCTCTGCAGGTTATTGTGCTATTGCTGTTTGAAGTTGGGTTACCAGAAGTTGACAACCCAATTTGGTAAGGTCAGCTTTGAAAGTGCACTAACCTTAAATGTAATTTTGGTGACCCCTTGACCAACATCAGCTATTGCATCAGCACAAAAGCAAGACAGCAATAGTCAAAGGCTAAGCTATATGTCTACAGTTGTTCTGGAACAGATAGCATTTGTATTGTATCTTATTCTCTTGTTTGTGTAATGGGCTAGGCCCATTGTTAGCGCCTCGGCAACAGCACAGGCCTCGGTACCTCCGAAGCAGACGTACAACCTCCGGTCACCTCCGGAGCGGGCCTGCAACCCCCAAAGCGGGAGTATTAGAATTCTGCAAGTCCCGCTCTGGGACTTGCCCCTTATCAAATCCATCAAGTTCTACATCGCATATTGCCCTCAGCGGCTCGCCCCTTACACAATCAAAGGGCAACCCGCAACAACACTGAACAAACAGGACTACGCAACAATACAAGAGAAGCTGAGGAACTGTAGTATTGATCGACCCAAGCAGTGGGCCGCGTTGGTAACACTCGGCACAAGCAGTATACTTGGTACAATTGGTATACTCGACATGTATACTCGGTACGATTGGTATACTCGGCACGGTCAGTATACTTGGCACGGTCAGTATACTCAATATGATCAGTATACTCAGTACCAAGCAATCTGAGCAATCTGAGCAATCCTCTGCTCATGTATATAGCAAGTAGACACGCTGCCCTTATGGCATTGTGTTCAACCTCGTCAATCAACTTTGTTATTGGAATCTCACTTGCTCTCAAGCCAGACAGTATACTCTGTACTACTCATTGCAACCAGTCGCCACGGTCTTTGACTAGACAACTACCTGACTATTACAAAGGTGACTGTCAACTCCTACGGCTTTCTGTACCTCTGCTCATCCCTGAGAACCAATCAACTAGTGTCTACGAGCTTTGCTTAAGTCACGAATCGTAACAGTGTAATAGTCCGGTAATAGTTGGTGAGTCTTGCAAAGTCTGTAAGAGGTGGCGACTCGGTGATACCTGGCGGCTCGGTGGTGAACCACGTTATACGAGAATACTTGTTCAATATTCTTTCGCCGATACAAGACATCACTGAGGTTTCACTTTGTCATATAAGACTTGAAATGTATCTGCCATTTCTCCCATATTCTTGAAGCGCCACAAGAAGAAGATTCTATGTTCAAGATCTTCAGGCTTGCCACCTATGGCGCTCGGCATGTCCTCACCACGCTCAATCCATGCGTTAGCAAGCCCAGCAGCAGTGGCCGGGACGTGGTCGTGATAGAGGGCTTGCGCTACGTGAATTATCTTCCTCCTCTCAACACCTAAATCCTCTTCGCAATGTGTGATGAGGTAATCAAAGTTTCGAGCGTCGGGCTTGTACGAGCCAATGTCCTCAGCCATTTAGATGGCATCAAACTCGAGATTCTTGAATTGCTGCGCAATGGTACGCTGGAAGTTGTCGTTGTCAACGTTAGACAGGATTACAAGCTTAAAATGCTCTTGGAGCCTCTTTAAGGCGTCCGCAGTGTCTGGATAGATTGGCCAGTCGCCGACTCCTGAGCCGAACTTTGCCTTGTTGGTTCTGGGTGCGGCAACACCAAGTTCCTCAGCCAGCCGACCGTAAGTTTGGGCCAGAACCTCTTTGTAAAGTATCGTTGGGTTTGCAGACTCGATAATTCCCTCATTCTTGATAAAGGCTCTCAGAAGACTCAACCGATCGTGCCGGATTGGGTGGTCGTCCGGCAGCTGCGTGTAAAGAGGGGCCAGTGCTTGATAGATACCGCCTTCCCAGTCCACGAGTGTCCCATAGCAGTCAAAACTGAGGCAGTCTAAGTCTGTTAGAGGATGATCGGTCTTGGGCATTTTTGCGAAGTAGACAGAGTAAGAGTACAGTAATGAGAAAGAAAAAGACCCTGAAAGAATTTTCCTGTTCGTAACACCTCTGGTAGGGCCTGGCTAAGTGCTTCTTTTGACCTTTAAATACGATTACTAGGGCTGTTAGGGGTGTTGCATTGCATAGCGACTCACATGCAGATAATGGCCCATTGAGCGCGCTTACTACAATCACTTAATATCTACTAATCAGCCTGCTCTTGCCTTGCCTTTCACAACCTCTCACACTTATTTCATCTGAGGTTTTACCACCTATTTTCAAATACACAGTACACACACAACTGTCAATGGCTGATGATGTGACGATTTATGGAGTGAAGCGGTCATGTCTGCCACGTGTGCTGGTGCAGTGCTCTTGCCTGTTCCGATAGCACTTTCTGTCTGAACGACAGATACGTCATGTAAACAGACCCCGCTGGGGGTCGAGTGAGAGACAGAACACTGAACAACAACACAACAGAATATACTGATTTTACTGCTTTGCGCGGTTACCCCTGACTTACTGCCCTGCACGGTTACACCTTCACTTATTGCATTTACTGCAACAGATGAAGTTTGACTGTGAAACGTAGCCCAATAAAGACGGCATTCATTGAGACAGTAAAATGATCGCCCTCACCTGTCACAAATGGATGCGATTATGTCGGGGATCGTGGATAATACGCAAGTGGGAAGAATTGAACGATGGAATTGAGGTTGTATTGGGTGAAGTTACAAACAGTATGTATAGGTGAGTAGTTGTAAACAACGCTAGTGTGACGTGGCAATCATTCTCATGGCAGGTGAGGTTCTACAGGCAGGAGCACCCTAACCGTGACACACCCTAAACCGTGACAGATTATGATATATGATGTTGTTACAGTACTGGACTAATTCAGTCAAAGGCCAGCTAAGGCTCCGGCTATGGGTTGTTCTCAATGCAACTGATACAATGCAATGCGATACGACACAATAAAATATAACCTCCATCTGCTATATCAGTGATGATCCATTCTAATAGTACGCTACGGTGTTTGTTCGCATGCCTCCTATGTTCATGACCAAGGACCGTGTCTAGCTGTTGATCTTAATATGGTAGGCCCGCCTCAAGGGGGGAAAACAGCCCTTTTTGGGCGGCTGTAACAAGATTGACGAGTGTAGAAGCATACAGAAAACTTTGGTCCTGTCCAAAACGGTGCTTGTAGAAAATCTGACTGATATAACTGTTGCGGTACTAGTTGGTCCATACGAGACCCTATTACCTTACTTAGACTGTTCTGGATTAGCACATTCCAGAGTCAGTATGTTGTTGTCTTTTCCTCACTAGATAGCAACTCAGCGCAGTATTCCATCGACCCGATAGTCCTATGTTGTCATTTGCCGTAGCTATCAGTATTCTACAGCGGCCCACGCCGCTACAATAACCCTAACAAACAAGGTTGAGCGATCTCGCTACATCCTTGTTCCTGTCTCCCACTTGCTCTGCTCCTTAGCTGCAGTTTCGGATACGTGCCTTTTGCTACACGTATCTAAATGTATCAGCTGTGGCCGGCGTCTCCTTGGGTGAGCCTTCGAAATAGGGGTGGTTGACGGCAGTCTTGGCTGAGATGCGGCCCACAGGATCCTAGATGAGCATAGACTCGAGCAAATCAATACCCGTGTCATCAAAATTATGGCAAAGCACAGCAGAACGATATCTTCTCCACTTGGGAAAACTGGACTTGAAGTCGGGATACGACGTGACGCCAGGCCAGACATCTTCTGAGCGAGTTTTCAGAGCGTTATAACAAGAAAGGATGCCAGATTAGTAGAAATTCGTACTGTACGTATATGGAACGTCAATAGCAGATGACTTACCGGAATATCTTGAGGATCTCGTCTATCTCTGGGTCACCAGGAAATAAGGGCTTACCTGTGCACAGCTCGGCAAAGATACAGCCCACTGACCACATGTCGACGCCAGTCGAGTACTGCCTGTCACCGTGCAGATATTCGGGCGCGCAATACCATAGCGTTACGACCTCGTGGGTGTAGGTGCGCAGGAGGACGCCAAAGGCGCGGGCAAGGCCAAAGTCGGCGAGCTTGAGGTTGCCATCTTTGTCAATGAGCAGGTTCTGGGGCTTGAGGTCACGATGTAGCACACGGTAAGAGTGGTAGTAATGGACGCCCTGGCACAGCTGCAACATGAATTTCTTGATGACGACGTCGCCAAGGCCCAGGTGCACCGAACAGTCCTCGGGCAGGGGCTTCCCGAGACCGCCATCGCTATGGGTGGTTGTCGAAACACCAGCCCGATCTCGTGATTTAGCTTTTTTTTGGTGCCAAAATGACGCAAGATCTAGTTTGTTAGCAATCTATAGTATAAACAGTATCTCATCGCATCCTGCACCAAAACTCACACTTGAAGAAGCTCAGATAGCTCATTTTGCTGCTGTATACCAATTTCTTGTTGTTCTAGTCCCAATGGCACGCAGAACGAAGCGGAAAACCAATCCGCCGGCAAGTGGCAGAGGAGAGAGACCTAGTAAACGTCAGCGGAGAGCTACTCAGCCATTTGATCAAGGTGTCAATCCTGCTCTTCCAACGCTGCCATCAACTGTGAGGCGTACCCAGCAGCCGCTGGAGCTGCTCTCACAGCACAATGGCGATTGCAATAGTCCAAGCCCAAGCCTGTTGTTCGAACCCGACACGAGCCAGCCTGCTGCTGGTGGTGATATACTTGCAGAGGATGATGATGAGGAGGAAGCGGCTGACGCGGCGGACGACGATAGCGATCGCGATGGCAGCGATGAGGCAGTACAGCTTGCCTTGGACGCTAGTGTAGCTGTAGAGGAGGTTAGCGATGGCGCTGCCGCTGCGGCTGCTGTACCTGGAGACTCACCTGCGGCCGCTGTTGCTCAATCGACAGCTCAATCGGCAGCTCAATCAAGCCAGCCACGCCGCCCAGAAAGTGAGGCAATTGACGAGGAGCCACACCTGCACTTCCGCTATCGTGCTGGCTGGGGCTCAGTGGAGAAGAATCCTATAGCGTCAGCTGCCGACTCCAGGCGTAACAAAGCCATGTATACTGTCGACGAGAATAAGGTGTGGCGATGGGCAAATGGTGTAGTAGAGATGCAGAAGCCACGCGTTAGCAAAATCGAGAGCTTAACAGCAACGCTCTATTATACTAGCGGCCGCCAAGCCAAGGCAGATAGGTGTACAATTGCGCTGCAACGGAGTAGAGTAGTAGCTGGAGAGCAGGTTACTAGGGGTAATTGGTTCGATTTTGAGGAGGAGGTTACTGAGATGAACAAGGAGAGCAGCCAGCTGATGATGTGTGATTTTGATTTGGTACTGAGGGAAGAGCTGCCAGCATCACAGCTAGCATTGCAGCCAGCTCTGGCTCGTAGTGTTGCTCGCTCACGACCCGGCATCGTTACAGCTATACAAGAGGATGGACTAGCTGCTGTTGTTGCTGCCGAGAGGTCTGCAAGCGGTGTTGCTATTGGCATCAAGGACCACTGGAGATGTACAGAAGAAGGTTGCAGTAATCACACCAACACCTGCTGGCGGTGTCGGTTACCTGGTCGTCAGATCGATTGGCCAGAAGATCACTACAAGGTCAATGGCAACACCATTGCAATATGGGCATCTGCTGTGGCTCGAGATCAGTGTACAATTGAAGAGCCAACCGATGAGATCCGCCTCTCTCTTACGATGGCCAGAGATCGTTCTGATGCTGAGAAGAAGCGGCAGCGGCGGAAGCCATCACCAACATCCTAAACTCCAGCATCGAAGGGCTTACAAAAGCAATCTTGGTTGGTTATCTTGCCCAAATGAGAGCACCGCAGCAGTGTCAACACCAATCAGAGTACAGAGAATATTCCAAGTACAGAAGATGGGATGACTTCGATTGCAGCCAGGTTGAGCTGCATCAACACACTTGGAACTTCTTCAAATACTGGTGCCAAGCAATGCCACAGATCAAAAATGACATCAACAAGATCAAGAGTGAGGTCTTCGAACAAGGCCACTACGATATCAATATGCTTATGGATAGGCAGACAGGTATGACGCTTGAGGCATGGGTGGAGTGCTTCCATCACTGCTGTCACATTTCTGAAGAAAGGCACATGATTGGAGGAATGTAGCGGCAACTGCCACTGTATAACACTGATAGCTACGGTAAACAATAACATAGGACTATCGGGTCGATGGAAAACTGCGCTGTGTTGATATCTAGCTAGGAGGTGACGGTATATACATGACTTGAAACGTGCTAAACATGACCCGTTACAACCGTGTGTATTGAGGCTCATGTGCAACGTATATTGCAGCAGTCTGATACCGCAACAAGGAAGGACTACGGTGGCTTAACAGCAGAGAACTTCTTACTGATACGTGAGGTATACGGTGACGCTGATGGCACAAGAGCGGTGTTGGGGGAAGTAAGTGGAAACTGATGTCTTGACACTGTAACCACAAACCTCACCCACACCATCACGCAATAATAATTATAGTTCTCGCGCAGGTATATGATCAATCAGTATACTCTGAATGCGTCCTGAATTTTTTAGAATTAATTGATCGCAATTGCAGCTGTTACAGCACTTTTGGTGTTGTGTAGATTGACCAAAATCATCCATCAGAGCCCTATTTTTGGTTACCCTGCACCCCTTGGAGCAACTGGATGATCTGCCAGATGGCTGCCGTGTGGATGGCAATTATTCACAACCATCAAAACAATAGTCCTGCAACTCAACGCAGTGTTGCGATGGTGGGTTGCGCAGCCTGCACTGTTGTTGGTGTATCAAATCAGATTTTGTCACGGTTTGGGGTGCTCCTGCCTGTCATACCTCACCTCCATGAGAGTGACTGCCACGTCACACTAGCGTTGTTTACAGCTACTCACATATATATACTGTTCATAGCTTCACTCAATACAACCTCAGTACAATCTTCAACTTCTTCCTTTGCGTACAGTTTTTCCCTGAACTCTGACAGATTTCCATCGTCAACACCTGGCAACCCACACCGTTTATACCACTCCCTAAAGGCAATATTGTAGCAGGCGCTCTGTACAGCGTACTCCAGGAAGTAGCTGAAGTTGTTCCACTCAGCCTGCTCATCCCAATGCCTCTTCATCCAACTTTTCAACACCTTGAAGCTCCGCTCAATTGGATTGTAGTCGGGTGAGTATGGTGGCAGGTACTCCAGTTGTATATCAAAGTCGCTGCAGAGCTGGATGATGCCTAGAGAACAATGGATAGATGCGTTGTTCATCAATAGCACGTGGTACCTGGGTTGCAAGAATGGCAACACATTGTTCTGCAAGAAGTCCTCCATAATCTCAGTAGTAATTGCGCCTTGGAAGATGCGGTGCGCAAGGTAGCCATCTATCGTCATTGCCAGCAGCAGACTCCATCGCTCTGATTGCTTCATGGAGTACTCCAGTTCAACTGAGCAACCGATAGGACTCCAGCCATACTTGCGATCGCCAGTGCGCTCATTGCAAGCACTCTCATTGATCGCAACAATCTGCTCTTCAGTGTAGTTCATCTGGACTCTTGCTCTGAAGACTCTCTGCAGTGCGTCAGACTGCTCAGTTGCTCTCTTAGTTGCGATCTTGCGGCTCCAATTCACCTTTTTCAGCTCACGAGACACTAATTTGAGGCCAACAGTTATATCAAACTCGTCATAGAGCCACTCTCTTATCTCCTCCAGGTAGGAGTGCGGCCTCCGCTCAAAATACTCTTGCAGGCGGCGCCTGTGGATGTCTCAAAGCGTGCTTGGCCATCCAATCTTTATACAATTCGGTGCATATGGCTGACCCTACACCTCTAAATTACGTCTCTTCTTGCGTGTACAATTGGGAGAAACACCAGTCTGATGATATATTTGAGTGTCATTGACTCCATTTTCAACTCGATTGAGGACTGCCTGCAGCATTGTGGCTGCCAGTTTGCGGCCATTGTAGTCGACGGGGCGGGCCATCGCGTCAACACCAAAAAATGACTCGGGATAGACAATTACAGGCTTCAAATAATGGCAGAGAGACGCTGTGTTGCTACAATTGCACTCCATTCCTCAAAATCTCAATTTCCCATAATGTAGATTACAAGCGAGCCGCGTATACAAGCGAGTCGCGCACCCCACCAACTTTGCCCACCTCTCCTATCTCATCGTACAATGGCTCCACGCAACGTTACCCAATCGCTATCAAATGAAGCAGATATTCAGCTTGCTATCTCATCTCTCAATACACGTCAAATACAGAGTAATTGACGTGCTTCTGCAGCCTTTAAGGTTGCTGAAACTACACTACACAACCAATGCGCTGGGAAGCCTGCACGACG